TTAGTCTGTATTTCGTATATCTTAATTTCACTTTTCTGTTAATGAGATATGATTTCTTATCAAAAGCAAATAGTCTTTTAAGGAAGTTATTGTTTTGCTTTCTTGGTGGAATTACAGTAGACTAAATAAATGGTTGACTCACGTAGATAAGCATCTAGGATTTGTTTTAGACTTATGTTAAAAATACCTCGTATATCCATACTTCCCAAATAGCTGATGCAAAGACAGAGAGCCAGAGGCATATTCATTCATTCAGGGCACTTGGAGAACAGCTATTGAGCCCGTGTTTCTGGTTTTGGGCCTGTCACTTTACTGTCAGGAATGACTTGTTAACATACCTCTCCCTTTGACTGTGAGCAACTGCAAATGGGAGCTACATGATACCACATCCCTGGCTACTTGTGGACTGAGTTTTTAATGACAATTTGGGTATATTAGTGTCTATACGGCTAATGCTGAATGTAGCCTTTCATGCTATAAAGAACATTAGGTGAATTTTGTACTTTTGGAGGGTACTTTTAATTATTTACATATAATGTTTCATATTGTAGGAAATATAGCAAATAAATGTATAAACAAAATAAAAATTACTTGTGATCCCAGGCCATAGAAGTAAACATTTTTTCCTTCATGTCTATGTGTGTATTCTATATTCTGTTTTAAAAATAGTCTTTGCCGAAACCAGTTTGGCTCAGTGGATAGAGCGTCGGCCTACGGACTAAAAGATCCCAAGTTCGATTCCGGTCAAGGGCATGTACTTTGGTTGCGGGCACATCCCCAGTAGGGGGTGTACAAGAGGCAGCTGATAGATGATTCTCATGGATGTTTCTAACTCTCTATCCCTCTCTCTTCCTCTCTGTAAAAAAAAAAAAAAAAAATCAATAAAATATTTAAAAATAAAAATAAATAGTCTTCTACAAAAGCTTGCCCCCTTTTCTGCTGCCTGTCCGGGCCCATCCAGAAAGCCACGTGGCATTGACACTTCAGCCCTGATGTTGCCCAGATTCTGATCAAGGGACAGAGAGACCCCACTCCTCACCCGAAGTTTGTTACTTGGCTCACCGGGCCTTTCTAGTCTGGCTAACCGTGTGGACTCTGGAGCATGAGTTCATACACATCTGCACCTCCTACTAACTCTGTGGCTTTAAGCCATTTCACTTCTTTGAGCATCACACGTAACAATAGGTCTGACTTCCAAAAATAAATTAAATCGTCTTCTAAAACATGAGCCTAACTTTTCCTTCATATGACATTGCTTGGAGGTATCATAGTTTGATTGTTCTTTTCCATTTTAAGTTGTTTCCAAATGTTTAGAATTAAAATACTTAAATTTTGGCCCTAGCTGGTTTGGCTCAATGGATAGAGCATCAGCCTGTGGACTGAAGGGTCCCGAGTTTGATTCCGGTCAAGGGCACATGTCTGGATTGTGGGCTTCATCCCTAGTAGGGGTTATGCAGGAGGCAACTAATCAATGATTCTCTCTCATCATTGATGTTTCTCTCCCTCTCCCTTCCTCTCTGAAATCATTAAAAATATATTTTAAAAAAATACTTAAATTTTATACAGAGGTCACTTGGGAAGTTATATGAGTAAGTACTTGCTGGTTTCCCCCCCTAAATTCTCAACATCACCCCTGCAGTTTTATATTTGTAAGTTGTGTGGGGAATGTGGTTGGTCAGCCTCACAAACCCGCTCTGGCTCTGAGTGAACCCCAGGACTGAAGCCCATCACTGGAGGGACGACTCTTCAAATCCTGCCTAGCGGGGAGCTTGCAGTCTAAGGCGAGGAGGAAATGACACATGGTTTAGTCATCATATGTTTTGGCAATTAAATTACCGGGAAGGAAAAGGTAAACATGGTGCGGCAGCCACTTTTGAAGAGCAGGCAGAGTTCCTGTGGGGCTGCTTCCACTTCCCCCCTTTGATGGCAGGTGGTGGCACCGGACGGTGGCTGTCACCTCTAGCACCGCAGCACGGTGGCTCGCTGCTCGCCAGCCCTCCCAGCACCAGGTGGAGGCTAATCACAAAAGCAAGATTGTCTCTCTTCCCTTAAAGACTGGCCTGCATTTGTTTTCATTTTAATTAAAAACAAAACAGAACAAAGCTCAGGGACCTTCACCATCCAGCTACAGCGTTTTCCTATCCTTCTCTCCCGATTTTGCTGAAGTATATTTTTGAAGACAAACCCTGACAGACCTTATGTCATTGAGTCATGTCAGCCCTACCTATCTCGGTAGGCATCCCTAAAAACACCGATTTCTTAGTTCACTTTCATACCATCATTGCACCTAGTAAAATGAATAGAAGTGACACCTCACGATTTTTCTTTGTCATAACATGTCACTTAAAATTTAGAATACAATAATCACGTGTAGGTTGAGTCACATATCATTTCGTTGTGTCATCTAGAAAATGTTTCCACCTGCTCTTCTCTTATTGAAGCAGAATTTCACTGTACCAAGAAGAGAAGGCATTTCATGGTTACCAGCGGGCATCTTGGTGGCTTAGGAAGGGTTAGTGCAGATTTACATGCACAATCATTTGTTTGTACTCCAGTTACCCTAGTGCTGCTCTATTCAAGTGCTCGAAATTAATGCCTCCAAGGACAGGGCAAGTCAAAAACGAGTGGCCAGGACCTGGTGGGGAGCTAGGGTGTCTGTCTCTCTCGTTTTATTTTATTTACGAGAGAGAGAGGAAGGGAGAGAGAAAGAGAAACATCAATGCCAGAGCACAACGTCAGTTGGCTGCCTCTCGAACGCCTCACCTCCAGGGATGGAGCCTGTGCATCCCAGGCACATGCCCTGGACCAGAAATTGAACCAGGATGTTGCCCTAACAACTGAGCCACACACCCTAAGGCTGGGTGTTTGTCTTTTTTAAAGGAGCAGTCACCAGATTGCTAGCTCTTTGAGAATGCCTGTTGGCTTGGTTGCCATGTCTTCCAGTTTTCAAAAGAAACTGTAAATTGGACAATTTTTTAAATGAAAGCCTTTTAAAGCAGGAAATAATTCACTTTTTAAATGAAAACCCTGTGCATTATGTGCTTCCCCATTGTATGCTTCACTCTATTTTGATTTTTCATTTAATTATCAGCATAGATCTGAAAGTAATGTACTTACTGCCAGAAAGCCCAAGAAATACAGCGATCACCTACAATTCAACAAACCAGTTTACCTTTGCTCCAAACCTGTGTGCTCCCCAGGCTTCCCTTTCTGTCTATATTAACCTCAGTGTTCCAATCATTTCTGGACTCCAAGTTTTGGTGTTCATTTCTCCTCTTGTCTTTCCTACCACAAACTCAAGTCTGTTCATATATTTTTTTTTTATGATGAATTTTCTTTCTCTTCCTTCCCCTTCTAGCTAGCTCATTTCTAGCCCTACCACTGCTTCTCTGACCCAGATTCTCCCTGTGTTCTAGTTCCTATCGCTGCCCAGCCAGGTTAGCCCACTTTCTCAAATACCTCTTTCAGATACCTCATGAAGTCTCTTCTCAAAAAGTTGTTTTGGATCCCTGTTGCCTACAGTAAAAATCCCACCATTTTTGCCCGGATCTCCGGGTTGCAGAGTAGTTTCATCATAGTTATCCATCCACATTTCCCTGGTATTCTCCAACCCCATCTCCTTAAGGTCAACTCTCCCTCAATCCAACCTCCTGGCCAGGGCTGTTCAGAACCTTGTGGGCGTTTCTGGACAATGGGTGGATCCTTTCCCTACACCTGGTCTGCTGAAGTGGGGTTCCCTGGCCTACCCCCAGATATTTCTTTTGGCCTGGGCCTCCATGATTGTCTGAGCTGCAAGAACGGAGTGGAATGAAGGATACTCGCAGGTGAGTCCTCCAGCTTAGGGAAGAGGCAGCAGAAGGGAGAAGGCTGCTTGGTCTTTAGCTGCCATTGGACCCTAGTTGGGGCTTCTGTGGAGAGCCCTTGTTTTGCTGCCTGACAGAGTTCCTTCTCCACATGATTTCTGCTTCTGCTCCCTCCCTCAGGGTAGGAATTCTTGTTGTTGTTGTTTTATGTGAAGCTGTGCTAACCACAGGCATTCTGCAGTTTGAGTGCAGCGCATGCTCATTGGCCTTGCAGCACCCACGTGTGCACACCATTGGATGTTGGAATGATTAACTTGGTCACTTTAACCTACGAGGGCAGCTTGTTGGTCAACTGGTGACCTTTCTTGTTCAGAGAAGGCTTAGGAAAATTTGTTATTTTAATGACCTAGTGATATTTCACCAAAAGAGATTCTTTCTCGTCTGCCTCAGCACTTTGTTTAAGCCTCTGATATGGCACAAAGCATCTAGTGTTACAGTTATTTGCACATGTGACTGTCTCCCATTTTCGTCTCGGGTCCATGCAGCAGCCACTGCTGCTTTGTGTGTCTCCCACAGGTCTGGTGTGTGGCCAGCACTCGGTGTAGGAGATGCTTGACTTTCTCTGATGATGCAGCCCGAGTTTATCAGGGACTGTCAATCTTAACTGTCATTAGTGAGATATGAATGTTGAGTGATTGCTAGTTCCCAGCTAAATGACAGGCTGTTCAAGTCCTCTCAGCGTACATCTCAGATTCTGTCAATGACAGGTTTTACATACGTTATCTCCCTTAATCCTCGTGGTAACTCTCTGAAGTAAATAATAATATTTTCTTCATCGCAGATTTTTACATGACATTGGCTTGCTGATAGACAAAACCACAAAATCTGCGAATGCCCAGGGCCCACTCTACCAGTTCAAATAGATAGATGATTCGAAAAAGTAATACGATAAAATGTTGTGTTTGCTAATACTGGCTTCCCATTCTAATACGAAACCTTTGGATGAACTGTTCCAAAGATTAACCTGGGAAACAAGAGATGTACTAACGTGAAACAATCCATACTGCAGCGTAATAACTTAATCTTATTCTTAATTTTTTTCAAAGAAGGAAGAAAATACATAACTAGGGAATTGTACTGGATTCTCAATTCTCAGGAACAACGAATTTTACTTCTTAAATCCCTTTTCTTTAACAGGTGACGGCTGTGGGCACATAGTGTCCTATCTGGACAGTGGCACCATGACATCTAAGAATTATCCACGGACTTACCCCAACCACACAACGTGTGAGAAGACAATCACAGTGCCGAAGGGGAAAAAGTTGATTCTGAGGTTAGGAGATTTGGATATTGAGTCCCAGACCTGTGCTTCTGACTACCTCCTCTTCACCAACAATTCCCATGAGTATGGTAAGGAAAGAGACCGAGGTTTCCACGTGCATGAAAGCATTTGCAATTTGGAGGAAGGAGGTTGTCTGTGTCTTGGTAAAATAGCCTGGGAACATTAGGAGAGAAACTTGAGTTTCGTAAACTCTTGGGGTAGCTCACATGGTACATTTGCTTCATAAGCTGCAACAAAGACCTCTGAGGAGATGTTACCGTTAGCCTGGTGTGCATGCCTCAGGAGCTTTGTCTGAGTGTGTATCTTGCTGGGAAGAGAATCGGAGATGTATGGCTCTTGGCTAGAACATCTGTGGTGCATTTATTCCTGTGACAAATATTTATTGACTAGTGATCCTGGGTTCAGGAACTCCGTGAGAAATGGGTTGGGATATAGCAGTGACAAAAAAAAAAACCACACAAAGTTCCTCCTCCATGGAGCTTGCCTTGGTGGGGAGGGGAGGGATGGAAGGAAAACAAACAAATGCATCTATCATGTGAGTGAATGTGAGAAAGAAAAACGAGAATGAGAAAAAGAAGCCATTCTAATGTAAGATGGAGCCTGTTTTTGAGTTGTTTGTGCTACCGAATGGGATGGTTAGAAAGTCAGAAGGCTTCCTCACTATGGGATCTGGCCTAAACAGGCAGTCAGACATCCCTCGAGGGGTCCCAGATTGGAGAGGGTGCAGGCTGGGCTGAGGGACATCCCAGACCCCCCAACCCCGCACACGAATTTCGTGCACCAGGCCTCTAGTTGTAGACATAAACATAGTCAGCGTCTTTTGTATCCAGGTACGTGCTGGGCCCTCACATAGATTTTTCCTGCACCCTTACATCCTCCCTGCCAGGTAAATATTAACTCCTTTGTACGAAACTGCATCACTATGACATTTAAGGAAAATGCCAAGGTTCGCACAGCTAGACAGGGCAGAAAGAAAGGTTTATATCTGCCCTGTGGCTCCAGATGTCCCCTCCTTTCTCCTGGTTCCACCACCTAAAGAAAATTCCAACAAATTATTACCTTTTCCGGGTGACCAGCCCACTATTACATATAGAGCAATTTTGTTTCAAGTGCAGGTGTCATTAATACTTGGAACATGTTTTTAAGATAAAATATTTAATGATGCTGAGAATTTCTTTTGTGGGTACTTTAAAGATTTTTTGATTAGTCATGCCAGGGCAAATCCAGCAGACGAGGAGAGCAGAAGTGAGCAATAAGAGGAATACATGAACAGGAAATTAGAATATTTCAATCATATAAGCATATTTTAAAAGAATTAAGTGGTCTAAGGGCTCGTAGCAAGTATACACACGCATATATCATATATGTTGCATGTATATGTTTGCATCTTTTGTGGTTTTGAAGAGCATTTTGGGAAAAGTTGTTTATTTATATATGTGTAGTACTTATAATATTTAATCCAGTGTCTTGAATGTAGTAGATACTTGGAGAATAAATGATTTTAAAAGTAAATCAATACGTTCAATGACAAGGAGTCAGTTAAGTAAAACAAGTTACAGTTACTAGGAATATTAAACAGCTATTTGTTTAAAAAACTGTTCATCTAGAAAGTTGCTTATGCTATACATAGTGTTAGGTAAAATATGAATATAAAATAATGTTATGATGATAAAAAAAAAAAACCCTTTGAGTAAAATAAGTCAGAACATAACTATAGGAAAATGCAAGGACTTTAGAAGGTTTCACTATGGGTCTTATGTCCTCGCTTTACTTTCAGTTCTTTCTTTAATAAACATGTTTCTTAATAAACAACGAATAGATTTCTTTGGACCAAAACCATAACTAGACATAAATGTGAACCGAGTTCAAATAGTTCCTGGTCGTGCCCTGGTGTGCTCAGCGGTTGAACATTGACCCATGCACCCAGAGGAGGCCGGTTTGATTCCGGGTCAGAGCACATGCCTGAGCTGTGAGCTTGATCCCTAGTAGGGGGCGTGCAGGAGGCAGGTGATTGACGTTTCTCTGTCATCAATGTTTCTCTCCTTTCCCCTCTCTCTTAAAAAAAAAAAAAAATCCATTAAGAAAAAAACAGTTCCCTGGTCAGTTTGAACTTTCCTGAGGAATGCAGGCATCCACCACGAAGGAGGAGGAGGAGGAGGAGGCATGGTGCTTTGTGGTCCTGCATTCCTGGGCTGTTGCCCAGCTCTATGGGAGGGTGGGAGGCCCCTCAGAAGCTATCATTGCCACAGGCGCTGGCATGACTCTAGAGCACATGTGTCAAACACAAGGCCCGCGGGCCAAATCCGTCCTGCCAGGCCTTGCAATGTGGCCCGCACGCGCTGTCATCACTGCACTCCGCTGCGTTTCCATCACAATGACAGTTTATGACTGTTCAGTAAACCATTCGGCCCGCGATTTAGGCTGGATTTTAGATTTTGGCCCCTTCTCTGATTGAGTTCGACACCCCTACTCTAGAGGGAAGTCCCTAGCGTTAGCTCTGGGTCTCAGGGACCCATGGTACTATTTCCTGGGCCTGGTAGAGGGGGTGCCCACTGAGGTGCTGCTACAGGGGAGACCTTATGTTTGAATACCTCCTAAAATTCTGGAATTTGATGGCTGTTGTGATTACATGTTTGGCTAAAACAGCTGAATAATTTTAGTTTATCCCGCTCAATATTATTCACTAACTATTAATAACTTATTGCTCATTCTTCACTAACTAATTTATTTCACTAATTTATTGCTAAAACCCAGGGCCAAGAGATTTTAAGATTCAACACTCTCCAACTTTTGAATATGCAGATAATGTTTTGAAAAAGAATAATGTTTTCTGGCATTGGTGTCTGAAAGCGCTGCCAAGAGTGGACCTCCTTGGAATGTGATTGCCGTAATCGTTGTGAATAGGCTGAAGTTTTGCAGTTGTAATCTCTAAGTTTTGCAGTTCTGTTTTAATGGTTCATCCCCAGGCCAATTGTCTGAAATGTTTGGTTCATATACTTCACATGCTTTTTATCATCCACACTCCTCTGGCAGCAAAATGCACTGTAAGCGGTGTGCCCACACCAGCTTTGACAGTGATCAAGCAAAAGATGCACTTGATCTCATTGATGTGAAAAGCCTGACACATGCAAGAAGGGGTTATTATCATTCTGCTTGTCATGTATTATCATTATGGCTCATATTTCAGATTCGAGCATCAATTAGAAGAATGTACTTATCTATGGATGGCTAAGTTAAGACACTGACTCTCCCTTTCAAATACCACAGAGACCTGAGTGGGGGAGTTTAAGGGGTTCTGTGAGAGCAAGGTCTCTCAAGATCCTGAGGAGCCAAGCACCTGGTTCCCATCAAGACTCTTCCAGTAGGTTTTTAGGGACCCAGGAACAACACTAAAATTCCCCACCAGGGGAAAACTGGGACCCAGTCAATCTTCTTGAAATATCAGGAAAACAGGAATGACCATTCCTCTGGGGTCCCAGGTAGCAGTGATGACAAAAACAAAACAAAACAATAACAAAACACACACACACACCTCTGAATTCAAAGCTCTCCATCTGTTGTGGTACCGTACCAGAGGGCTAGGAAGGGTGGCAGAGTCACTACAGATTTTTAACAATGAAAATAATGATCTTCAATATGAATTCACAGCCTATCCTCTTCAATGTTGTAAGTAAAACAATGTTAAATACTTTTTTCTTATATTTTAAATGTAGGTACATTGGTATGACACAATGCCTGCAGATCCAGTTCTATCCATGCTAGAACCTTCTTTGAGGTCCATCAACTCTAGTCATTGGCTCTGGGGCTCATGTTGTTGTTGTAGTTTTGTGTGTGTGTGTGTGTGTGTGTGTGTGTGTGTGTGTATGTGTGTGTGTGTGTGTGTGTGTGTTAATCCTCACCTGAGGATATTTTTCCATTGTTTTTTTAGGGAGAGTGGAAGAGAGAGAGTAAGGCAGAGAGAAACATTGATGTGAGAGAGACACATCAATTGGTTGCCTCCTGCACAAACCCCAACCATGACCCTGGCCTGGGAGGAGCCTGCAACCAAAGTAACTGCCCTTGACGGAATCAAACCCGTACTCTTCAGTCCGCAGGCTGAAGCTATTCCCCCTGAGCCAAACCAGTTAAGGCTCGTGTTGTTTTTCTAAGCCTTCAGTAGAGCACCAATCTCAGGTTGAGATCGTTATATTAGCTTCTCTACCAGATAAGGGGTTCCTTGAGCAAGGAATTGCATTTTATTTATCTTTGTATTATAGAATCCCCTATTGTATAGCGTAGTCTTGTAATTAAAAATGCTCAGTCCACTTTTAATAAATCACATTGCATGTAGCTCAGTTTTGGCAGACATATTTAAAAATGTGGATTTGTTCACACTGCAAGAAGATTCACAGGAAGATTCCTCTATCTATAAACATCCTGACTGCATTGAAAGAAGGACTTGATTTACATAAAATTTTAGGACTCTATAATAGAGAAAACACTATAAATAATGTAGAAGGTGCCTGCGACTAAGCATTCAACTATATACTACCGTGTTTCCCCGAAAATAAAACATCCTCCGAAAATAAGACCTACTTACAGGTTTCCTTCTGAGTGAAATATAAGGCATCCCCCTGAAAATAAGGCCCCCCCCTAGGCTCTGTCTCAGAAACTTTGTGAAACCTAAACTGCAAAAAGTTGTGACTTGGGTGAAGAATTCATGGGAGAAAATCACTGACAGTTGCATTGCAAATGCACTGCGAGCAGGCTACCTTGACAAGAAGTACTCATTTAAAAATGACAGTGCTATTGCTAAACATGAGAGATTTGGTCCACTGATTCTGAAAGAAATGGAGTCACAAGAAATTCACCAGGAAATTCAGGAATTGGATTGTTATGATGATATTCCAGAAGATGATGACATGATTATCATTTGAATAAATGAGTAAATTCTTGATACTTTAGGATTCACAGTTTGTCTGGTTTGTGTTGACAACTACCGTACTACCATACTGTATACAGGTAATAAATTTCCTTTATTTTCATTTAACAATTAATGTGTACTGTATTCTTCTTCATGGAAAAATAAGACATCCCTTGAAAATAAGACCTAGCGCATCTTTGGGAGCAAAAATTAATATAAGACGCTGTCTTATTTTCAGAGAAACAGGATATATGCTGGGTTTAGTCCTTAGAGCTACTAATTTAACCTTCACAGTAGCCCTCTGGGAGAGGAGACCTGTTTGTAACATCCACACATAAGGAAACTGCAGCTTTAAAAGGTCAAGTGACATGCTTATGACTCCTTAACTGGTGCTAGGATTCAAGTTTGGGCATCTGACTTCAGAGACCCTTCTCTTAAACCTTCCCAATTTGGTGTGGCAACACCCATCAATCTGATCAGAGGCTTGTGCATAAGATCTGAGCTGTAGTTCTTGGTTATCATTTGCTGGAAGAAGTAGACACTGCTGAGGGCCTTCCCCATGGGAATATACTAGAAGTAGAATGGATTTCTGAAAAATCACTTCCATACCCAGTATCAGTATAAATTTATGGTTTCAAAATACTTAGTCAAAATGCTTAAGGAGGCACCATGGCCAGTGAACCTAATTATAGTCAGTTAAATTAGTTGTGTTCTGATAAATGACTTGCACTGTAGGAAAATCAGGAAATTCCAGAATTGTTCTTTTACATTTCCTGCACTTCCACCTCCACCCCCAATACTCCTTTAACCATTGTCAGAGACTCAAGAAGTAAAACCATGTGAAGTCAACTGTTCATGTTCGTATTACACCAGGAACAAGAGAAATGGGAAAGTAGGAAATAATACTTGGTGTTTTGCCTCACAATTGCAACAAGATTTCTGTGAAAGTATTTTGGAATAATACATAGCTGGCATACCATAATAAGATCCAAACATTATGTGCTGTCTGTTGATTTTTTTTTTTTAATTCCAAATAAAGAAAACACAAGATTGGCAGTTTCTATTTAACAAATGGGTTATGTCTCTACCGGTCATATCATGGAGAACAGACAATTCATATGACTTTTAAAGAGACAACAAAAGCCTTTGAAGGAATTTCCAGCTTGTATAGAAAGCTGTGTTGAGCCTCAAACACCCTAGAATCGCATTCCCCTCTAGGATTGGGGCTACTGTGGTGGATATTTTTTTGATGGTTTGATTTGGTTTTGCCTTTTGTGCCAAGATAGCATTCAGAAGAATTTCAGACTTATAGAAAACTTGATATCAGCCAGAATGTTCCACACTAGACATCTTATTAACATCATCACAAGCCTCCAGGAGAAAAGGCTCCAACTTCCTCCTCCTCTTTTTCCCCAAATACTTCCCTGGAGACCGCACTGTGATTTGGTTTCAGTAATTACCCTCTTTTGTTGGGGAGAAGTAATGGCCTAGGTGGGTTGTGGGCTCCAGTGTTAGGGCACTTCTTGACATGCCCTGGCCCCAAGGCAAGCCACACCTTTGTCTAGGAATCCGCCTGGTCCATTTATCATCTGTCACTGATTTTTGTCTGGGAACGGGAGACCCACGCTCTCCAGGGACACCGCTTACATTCTTACGTGACTATGGTGTTAATGGCGCAGTCCAGGAATATCCCTTTTTCATGTTAATTTCCTTCCTTTTCAAAGAAAATGGCCCTGAAAATTCAGTAATTTTGGACAATGACACCATTGCAATTAGCCAGCAAGGACAAGCCTTGCCATTTGACTGCACTGAAAAAAAAAACAAATGGAAAAGGGACGGGAGTCAGTGGCGTGGCCTCTGCAGCCTCAGCATTTCTGGAGATGGTGTCAGCAGCGCGGCCCTGAGAGCAGATCTGGCCCGCGCTGGGCGCCACTTTCCTGGCAGCTGAAGGCGTGCCCGTGGCTGGCACTGTCAGGGCACTCCTGGGGAATGCCCTTTAGGCCCACTGGCATGCTCTTTGCTGTCATAAGAAATTAAATGTGTCCTTCAGAAGGTGCTTATAAAGTTGAAGGTTTTCAGGAGGATTTTTTGTTGTCTGATTTTAGGACAGATCTCTCAGGAGTTGGGTTTTCATTTGGTCTCTGTGTTTTTCACCACTGAGAGTAATTATGCAGGGGAAGGGGTCTCTCTCTCTCTCTCTCTCTCTCTCTTTCTCTCTCTCTCAACAGTATGCATCCATTTTTAAAACATATCCCTTTCACAGATGAAACAATAATTTAGCTCCATTGGTTTCAAGCTCAAAAGCATAGACCTACCGGAAGTGACTTGGAAGAGTAATTAACCCTACTGTGACTGCCTTGGAATGTCCAGGGACTCAGGCAGGCGACCCCTGGAGAATGGAGCATTGCTAGAAATGGCTGCCCCAGTGTCCGATTGCCAGAGGATGGAGGGCTCTGGGCGTGGCTCTGAGCAGATGGTGCATTCTTCCTTGTTGGACAGTTTTCTTTTATTCACACGAGGGAAGAGAAAGGGTTTCTCCCCTCAGCTGCTCATGGAACAGTGACCCCAAACAAGGGATGTGTTGAGAGGAACTGGCCTACTGTGCTCAAAGGAGTCAGCCCCTGTGGTTCCGGGACCTTTCTTCCCTTTGTCCAAGGGATTAGCCCATTGTCTGGGCATCATGTCAGGTGCCAAATGCCACAGGGCTAGTCCATTCTAAATCATTGATAGCTCTTCCCACAATCCAGGCCTATAGTCACATTCCACAAGAGAGAGAATTATTCAGTTTTCCTGATTTTTCAGCCTACCTGATGAGGCACCTTTCTGCTGTGCTCCAGAGGGAGAGAATTTGGGACCGTAAAGTAGGATGGAACCTGCCTCCCAGGCAAGGATAGAGGTGAGGGGAGTTAGATGGCAAGTCCAGGTCTACGGAACACACAGTACCTGCAGATGGGAAGCAGAACTGTGAGTCCTACACTTAGGTCTGCTAATCGTTTTAGGACCCAATCAAGAAGGGGTGGGCTTCAGTCTGACTGTGAGCCAAGGCGGGTTCGCCAATCCAGGAACACAGCCCAGGATGGAGAATAGAACCCTGGTCAAAGTTAGAAGTTACCAAGCTCACATTTGAATTTCCAATGATATTGTCTTTGGGAATGTTTAAGGATAGTTGTAGACCCTTTTTACAAGTCAGGATGGAGAACACTAACAGTAACCATATCATTTGGGCATAGAAAGGCTTTTGTAAGAAAAACTCATCCTCGAGGTTGTATGTTTGATATCCTGTCAGAGCACATACAAGAATCAGTCTCCCTCTCCCTCCTTCCCTCCCTTCCTCATTAATAAATAAAATTTTTAGATCTGCTTGCTAATTCCTGTTTTCAGGGAAATTATTGTGTCTTACATACATGACTTTTAAGATGACAACTAAACTTTAGCTTGAGTAGTATTGGGAAGGTATTTTATTTCCTTTTTAGCTCCAAATCTAATTTTGTCCTTTGAAAGTTCATTGAACTTCCTATTGCTTTTCAAGCAACTTATTCTAGAAACAATGTGTAATACTCTTAATTGCATAATTTATTTTATGGAATTTCAAAAGGCTTTAAAAACTATTCTGCTTTTTATGAACTTTATTTTATAAATCAAAATAAATCATACAGGTTAACCAGAGCTACGGCAAAAGAGTGATCAATGTGTATGGAAAAAGCTGCATGGGAATATGATGTTTGCCATGCATTGGACAGACACTTCATTCTGGAATCTCCTAAAATAGGGAATTTGTTAGTTTCTTGGAGCAAATTTAAGAGGCCCCTAGAATATCATTTTTGTGATAACATTTTTTTTTTTTAATTTACTACCTGTCTTAGTTGGTTACCAAGATACCTCAGACTGAATTGCTTAAAAACAGCAGACATTTATTTCATTCAGAGGCTGGGAGTCATGGTGCAGGCAGATTCACTACAGTGGCCCCACTTCCAAATTCATAGCCTCTCTCTGTGTCTTCACATGGCAGAGGGGCAAGCAAGCTCTTGGAGGCCTCCTTTATAAAGGCACTAATCCCATTCATGGGGGGCTTCACCCTCATGACCTAAGCACCTTCCAGAGTCCCTGCCTCCTAATGCCATCACATTGGGGTATTAGGATTTCAATACATGAATTTTGAGGGGACACAAACATGTAAATAGTACTTTAAGCAAGTTTAGGAGACTATCACTAGAATATCACTTTTGTGATAAATTTTTTTTGTACTACTACATGTATTTGACTTTTATTTGTTAGTCTTATTTTTTTACAAAAACCCCATCTCTTGGGTTGTTCACAGCTAACTAGCTCTAGCCTATTACTTATCCAGAGTTAGCCATTTCCCCCGTTGGCTTGTCAGTATAATCAGGTTCACTATCAGTCTCAGTATTAAACAAAATTCCAGTTGAGTGATTATTACAATCTTACATTTGTGTTTGTCTGGTAAATTTGACCACTAACGGAGAGAAAAATGCCATATACCAATTCTTTGTGCTGGTCTAAATTTTGAAATGTGCCAAAAATGTGCTTTATTTTTAGGACCATATTGTGGAAGTATGAATGTTCCCAAAGAACTCGTGCTGGACACAAATGAAATAACTGTTCGCTTTGCAAGTGGATCCCACACTTCTGGGCGGGGCTTTTTGCTCACCTATGCCAGCAGTGACCATCCAGGTATAGCAGAAGCATCAACACAAACCTGTATACCTTTATCTGTCTAAGAATGCCTCGCTACTTATCCCTATCTCTGGACAGAATTGTTACCTCAGATATAGAATTAAGATGTGAGGCAAGAGAGGAATGCAATGTCATTAAGATGTGAGGCAAACCCTAACCGGTTTGGCTCAGTGGATAGAGCATTGGCCTGCGGACTGAAAGGTCCCAGGTTAGATTCTGGTCAAGGGCATGTGCCTTGGCTGCAGGTGCAAATTCAGTAGGGGGTGTGCAGGAGGCAGCTAATCGATGTTTCTCTCTCATCTATGTTTCTAATTCTCTATCCCTCTTCCTTCCTCTCTGTAAAAAAAAAATTAATAAAATAAGATTTTTTTAAAAAGAAGTGAGGCAAAAGAAGAATGCATTGTCTGTAGTTGGGTCTGAATTGAATGCTTTTATAGAACATGTTAAGTTGATCAACTGACATAAGAGAGTTGATCTCATTTTCCTAGTAGCCTTGGGTAGAGCATCTTTGGGACCCTGTCACCCTTCTGAAGTCTGACTATTCTCTGGAGTCCTCCACCAGCCTGTTTCTTAGCTTAGGACACGCATTTGATCAAATACCCACACCCCTTTACACACACACACACACACACACACACCAGTGAACCAGCACAGCCGGAGGAGTGTGAGTATGAGCAGGGTGTGGTCACTATCACCAAGTCCCCTAACCATGCAGCTGACACTTGAGCAGGAGAGAACGGAGGCATAGGCTCTGGCCAGGCTTCTGGCACTCCAGAGTAATGACCATGCAGCCTACCCATCTCTGCCCAGGGCACCGAGGTGCCCAGAATTTCTGCTTTCAGTCCCCTCTGGCTGAAGTACTCTGGGAAGGGAGTGTACCATTCACTGCCCTCCTCAAGATCTGGCCAGTGTTTACCAGATGTTACTCCTTAAGAACGATTGAAAAGATGAAGGAAAGAAAGAGCTATTGCAAGTGTGGAATATTTTGGAAACTATACAAGGTTGATAAAAATGGACCAAAATCCACAGTATTTTAGCATCTCTGTTGTTGAGTATTAGTTTGGTTCCATATGCAAAGAGCACCCTCTTGCTAAGTCCTTGGTCCTGGCTGATCAAAGTTGAGAGGCTATTTGTGTTTTCATTAAACGCCTGGTTCTTGGGTCACTCAGGCGTCTCCAGCTAAATTGTTAAATTACAATGTTCCTGAACCTTCTCTATGAACCACCCTGGGCTTTCAAATTGTTTTCCTTCTGCCAAAGGAATGAATACACATGATCTTTGTAGGCACGCAGTGGATAGTAACTAACCGGTGTTGGTTTTTGTGTTGGAAATAGATTGTGTTGTCACTCACTGGACAACCACTGACAGACCATCATTGGTGGCAGGAAAGAGAGATGAAGGAACTGTTAAATCCTGAGGACACTGTGTTCAGTTTTTGTTTGTGTTTTTCCCCGACTACAGACCTTTCCCCATATAAAAAAATGAAGGGATTGCAATTTAGGGTTTTTTTTTTTAACTTTATTTTTATTGTAGACTATTACAGATGTGCTCAGTTTTTGCCTATTTTTTAAACTGAACAATATATATCAATTATAAATAATAAATGCTTTTAAAAAAATATCTTGTTTTATTTTAAAAGACATCTTTCAAGCCTGGCACTATCTTAAGTTCCATTCAGTCTTCTAATTACAATTATCTTTATGACAGATTTGATAACGTGTTTGGACCGAGCTAACCATTTTTCGGAGATAGAATACAGGTAAATATGGGTGTGCTGGCTGGGCGGCAGGCATATGTTGCTGAACATTTTGTTTACCTTGACATTAAACCAGACATTATTGGTATTTATTTTTTGTAAGTCATCTATGTTATAACTCATGAGGAATATTTGAAATGGTTTCTTATACAGCAGAGGTCAGCAAACTTTTTTGTCAAGGGCCAGGTGGTAAATATTTTAGGTTTTGCAGTCACACAGTCTCTTTTGCATGTAGTCATACAGTTTTGTTGCAATTGTAATCATAGACTAGATGTAAACAAATGAGCAGGGCTGTGTTCCAATAAAACTTTGTTTACAAAAACAAGCAGCAGGCTGGATGTAAGTCCCAGTTTGCTGGCCCCTGAGTTCTACCAAAGGACCAGTGAGCCAATATTTTTTACCTAGCCTGTATTGGGGAGTGACTTTGTTAATTATTTTGTTTTTGGAGGGTTTATTTTGTCTTTCCCACAAAAGAGAAACCTCCTGAGAGCAAGAGATGAACATTCCATCCCAGCTTTAACTGGAAAAATGGCTTAATCTTTTTGATGTACATTTCCTCATCTATAAGGTAAAAGAGCCTAGAGCAGGATTTCTCAACCTTGGCACCGTTGACATTTCAGGTTGGATGGTTCTTTGTTGTGAAGAGCTATTCTGTGCGTTGTTGGATGTTCATCAGCAACCCTGGCCTCTACCCTCTACATGCCTGTGTGATAGCCAGAAATGTCTTTAGACATTGCCAGATGTCTCTCAGTGGGCAAAATTCACACCCATTTGAGAATCACTGGCCTAGAGATCATTGCCAACAACAGCTCTAACTCCTTAGAGTGCTTTCTTTGTGGGCCAGGTACTTAGTGCCTGGACTTAGCATGAAAGTAACTCATGTGAATGTCCCAACATGCCTACAAAGTAGGTTCTGTTATACACAAAAGACAGAGGCACAAAGCAGTTCAGTAACTTGCCCAAGATTACACACTTCAGTCTACTCAGCGTTAGGCCCAAGAGTGCATGGTCCTAATCATCTCTGACATTCCAGTAAGTGAGACTATTTTACAAGTAGAGTCAACTCTAGTGTTAATCAGTACTGAGTCTGATTAACGAAAATAAATGTGACCAATAATTAAATATTGCTCTGTAAAGTCGCCTTTCATCCAATGTAAATATTAATCAACATTCCCTGAGATCTTTTCAGTGATCCTGTACAGTGTCAGCAGTGACAGAGCCGCTGAGCATCAGTAATCATTTTCAGTTCTAAAGAGGGGAATATACTGAGTAAGGTAATGGTTCTAGATCATCTAAGCCAGCAATTTTCAACTGGTGGGCTGCAAGAATTTTTAAAACATGCAGGACCTGCCCTGGCCGATTTGGCTCAGTGGATAGAGCATCAGCCTGCGGACTCAAGGGTCCCAGGTTAGATTCCAGTCAAGGTCATGTACCTTGGTGGTGGGTACATCCCCAGTGGGGAGTGTGCAGGAGGCAGCTGATTAATGTTTCTCTCTCACTGATGTTTCTAACTCTCTCTCCCTCTCCCTTCCTCTCTGTAAGAAGTCAATAAAATGTATTAAAAAACAAAAACATGCAGTACCTGACTATTTAGTCAGGGGCAGTGACCTCTTTTCCCTTACATTGTCAAATTTAAAACATGACAATAGCCAATACAACGATAGCCATCCAATGTGAATGAATCAAAATGATAACTATTTTTTTTGTCAGATCAGTAAAAAATGTATATTTTTTTGGTGTGCTGCAGAATTTTTGTTATTATGTTTTTGTGCCAGGAGATGACAAAGGTTGAAAATCACTGATTCAAGTTGTAGCCCAGCATTTGTAGTGTTTAGGTAAATATGAGGTATAATGACTAATAACTGTCCACAATCCCCATGAAATGCAGAAAGCTTTGAAAGACAAAAAATTTTGTAACTCACTTGATAGCAATACTTGATTAACGTGACCTTAAATTAATTTACAGCAAAATTGGACTAAAATTAAGGCGTCTACTTAGTCTGTATTTGACTTAATATGACTATTTGTGTATTTGACACAGATATTTTAGTGTTTTTATTAACATGTGCAGTCCTTATAGGGTCTTACATAATATACATCATTGAAACTGTCTTACTTTCTAAAATAAAAAAATAAATAAAAACCCAAAAAGTCTGAATTCTGAAATAATCTGTCTCTAAGTGCTAGGATAAGGGTCTGTAACCCTGTAGTAGGATTCCCCATTTTCATTTCTTAATTCCTTGATCATTGCTGCAATGCTGGACTCCATTAGGTCTATGGGAAAGAACTGTGAGTTATTTATTTGGGTAGTTTTGATAACTACATGTTGTTACTCATCTAATTTGCTAAGTCAGCAGGAGGAAACTGGAAGGAAATGAAGTCAAAGCGACTGCTATTTTGGAATCTGTTTGGGCTGATACATTTCTTTTTAAACAAACCGAGTAAACATTATCGTAATGCAGTGTATATATAGAAACAAGGGCATATGGCCTTCATCTTCAAAGTTGCCATTGTTCTTACAGTATTTTGACTTTTTTTTTTGCATGTTTTTCATAGATGTATAGCTGTCATTCATAGCCTATTGATATGTTGACTCTTGAAGGAATTGCAGCTGAGAAAACTTTTTACATTTTTAATGTGGTTACTCGAATCTTTAGGTTTACATATGTTATGTTTCTATTGGGTAGTGCTATTTGAGTGAATCAAAATATTGCATAGTAAAATAACACGTAAAGTGAAAGTCTCAAAATCCCACTAGAATCCAGAGATTCAATTCCTTGTCATCTTTTTATCCATTAAAAAACATAAGTTATTTACACATTTTAAATATCTTTTTATAAAGATGAGGTCCTGCTATATATAGTGTCTAGAAATTTTGCTTTAAAATTTTTTTTTCTTGGACTTAGAATCATTAAGATGCTTTAGGAACATTTTTTTAATAGGGCATATAATGCATCCGTATATAAAATAAATAATTACTATGTAAAACTTGCCTTCAGGGTAACATTTTAGATTAATCTGTGTTTTCATAAATCAGGTTTCTGACTTGTCATTAAAGCAAGGTATTCCCTCCTGTGTATTCTATGGAGAAATTATCTTAAGTATAATTTTAATACTTTTATATTTATAATTTCATAAAATATGAATTTATTTTTCTTTTCTTTTTTAGCAAATTCTGCCCAGCTGGTTGTAGAGACATAGCAGGAGACATTTTTGGGAACATGATGGATGGATATAGAGATGTAAGTGATTGGGGGGAATGTTATGGTTTTGCCTAAATTCATTACAAAGTAAAATCATGTAAAATCTAAAACTCTGTAGACAAATATACAACTCTCTTTTTTCCTAGAATAAATGAAATACTATAATAAGTACAAAAACCAAGGTTACTCATTACTATTTTTAGCACCTCTCATTAAGCATTTGAAATGGTAAAACAGAACCCTTTTCAACACCTGAGAATATAGTTCCATCTGGTTTTAATAAGAGACCATCTTTTTGTTATACTTTATTTCTTCATTTTAACACTCCATTTGGTACATGAAATAATAACCAAGGACATGAACATTCATATCACAGAATAGTGAATGTGAGTCTGACGCCAGTGCAGGCAGCCCTCTGCCCTATTCTTATATACAATATTATTCCCCTCCCTTCTTGCTCCTTCATTTCCTATGCCCAATGAGACTTTTTTGGTTGTATACATTTTTCTCAGAGAAAAATTAACTCACAGGAAGTCGTTTTTATAAAGTATATATCCTATTTCCAGGTGCACAATCTTTCATTTTTTATTTTTTTTTTTACAGATTTCTGCACTGGAAATCTGGTGCCTGATTTTTAAAATGCGATATTGCTATTTAAAATAACTAGTTTTACAGGAATTTGCTTGAATTATTAGAAATGTGATGGGATTTTTTCTCACTGCTACTGGCATGTGTCTTGAAGCATGGGGAAAGCATACATATTCTAAAAGGTGGATACTTCATCTCCAGCAGGAGGGGGGAAAAACTTGGCTTTAATTTTTGCCTTTAGCATATCCTGATTCTGAAAGCAGCAGTTTTTGTTATTTTGGTCTTTGTTTCCTTTTTGTGTGTGTTGTTTTTATTTACAAGATTGGCACTGGATATTCATTTGGCCTATAAATTGTTTGAACCTTAAAATGATTTATACCTCCTCAGTTTGAATATATATTTGGCACAGGCTATTTCTAAATTACTTCAGGAAGTTAACTAAGAGAAATAAAAAGTATAGTTTTCCCTCTAGGCAATAGAAAAGTTTTCTCTATTATTTCCTGCACCATGCAAGGAGCCTAAGAATTATGTACAGTTTGAGAGGAAGCATAATTTTTTCTTACTTAGTGGTTTATCTTGCCTCCTCTTGACAGTTTTCTTGTTCAGTGTAACCAGCAAATAAATGGTTTCCTGCACAGTAGAATTGCAAGTACTGCAAACAGTTTTCCCATTTGGCTTACTCACTGATTTGACACCATTTGCTTTTATTTTTTTATTTTTAAATATATTTTATTGATTTTTTTATAGAGAGGAAGGGAGAGGGATAAAGAGTTAGAAACATCGATGAGAGAGAGACATTGATAGGCCTGTGGACTGAAAGGTCCCTGGTTCAATTCCGGTCAAGGGCATGTACACCATTTGCTTTTAGAATGATTTTATCTGGAGGAAAAATTTGTATTTTGAAAACTGACCTCTTCAGAGAAGTCTGATTTGTGCCTTTTTTTGTATGCCATGGGTGTGTATGCGATATCTGTTGCCCCAAAACGATATCACCTCAAACTTAGAAGCTTCAAACAATACTTGTATTCTCTCTTGTGTTCTATGGGGTGTAAGTCTGGGCGTGGCTTAGCGGAGTCATCTGCTTCCATGTCTGAGGGGGGCAGCCAAGGTGTCAGCCAGGCCTGAAGGCTCCTCTGAGACTTTTCTGGGGAAAGATTTGCTTCTAAGCTCACATGGTGTTGGCAGCATTTAGGTTGTCCTCAGCTCCTTGCCATGGGGGCCTTCCTAGGAGAGTTTCCTAACAAGGAAGTCTCCTAGCAAGACAGGTTACACTCGATCTAATTATCCTCCCACACAGAACTGTGCTCATGGGATCCTAAGACCTGGGCAACCCACTGCAAAGTTCTAGTCCTTCCTCTAGGCCCGCTTTCTAACAGGCCAGTTTTAATCCCAGGCCCACCAGCTACACAGCCAGGCAGGCACTCCTGCTGGGTTATCACACCAGATAGCAGCTGTTTCATGGTCTGACATTATTTTGTCTTCTATGCCTTCTTAAATCTCTAAATTAATTGTAAAATGAAGCTGTGGTGGGATAGGTTCACCTTCTCAAATGATCCTCAGTGCGTACATCTGGTAAACCGAATTTAATAAACTCTGATCAGTTCTCTATTTCTGCTGGACGGTTATCTATTTTAGCCACCGCAGACCTTCCTGGCTTAAAATAACTCTTTGATTTGCCGGTGAGTCCATTCTTGAGCTCCTTTAGCCTAGAACCACTCCTACAGCTACAGTCATGTGGCACGTGACCTGGGGCCAGAGGGTTCAAAGAGGCCTCACTGACATGCGCAGCTGCACAGAACAAGCTGCATGGCCAGTTCAGAGTCCGTGTGGGAGGAAACTCCACCAGGACATGGCCACCAGGAGGGGTTATTCATTGGGAGGACCATTGCTACGTAAATTCTCTATCTTCCAACCCAGACAGCTTATGTATGATGACTCTGATGTCATTGAGAGAGTGATATACTAACACTTTTTCCTCCCCCTTTTACTTTTTATTTCAATGAATGCCATGGATCCTTGGGAGATGCTGCCCACAAGTTATAACCAAATGGAAAACTCCTGGTATATTTTCAATGTCTTCTTGAGTCAGCCATGAGTGACAGTGTTGCTGTGTTTCAGAACTCTCTACTGTGCAAGGCGGCCGTCCACGCAGGGATCATTGCAGATGAAATGGGTGGTCAGATCAGCGTATTCCAGCACAAAGGGTTAAGTCGATACCAAGGAATCCTGGCCAATGGTGTGCTCTCAAGGGAGTAAGTACTTTGACTTTTCTTTGGAGTGGGAGGTAACTCCAAGGCATAATTAGCTCACAATTTTGAAAGGACAGCAGCCCTAACCGGTTTGGCTCAGAGGATAGAGCATCGGCCTGCGGACTGAAAGGTCAGAGGTTCTGTTCCGGTCAAGGGCATGTACCTTGGTTGCGGGCACATCCCCAGGGGGAAGTGTGCAGGAAGCAACTGATGGTCATCGATGTTTCTAACTCTCTATCCCTCTCTCTTTCTCTCTGTAAAAAAATCAATAATATATATATATATATATATATATATATATATATATATTATTTTTTTTTTTTTTTTTTTTTTTTTTAAAGGAAAGGACAGCAGATATGTGATACCAAGGGTTTGTTAACTATGGGGAAGATATGTGAAAGTGTTACAGTAGTATTTTATAGTGTCTGTGAGGAAGGTAGATGCAGTAATAAAAAAAGTTCACTGGTTATGCTGACAAGCAAATTAAAATGGCTCACATACGAAGTCCCAGAGCGGAGCAGTATTTCTACTCAGGTGCTTTAGTGGAGAGCAAAAGACTTGATTTCTTTTCAGTCTTTCCAGTTTCAGGAATTTATAGTTAATCTTCCATATTATTGAAGATACGGAAGGGAGACTGGGGAGCTGAAGTAAGCCTGTTCTGAATTACGGCACTCCCCAGAAGGCTCCTGGAGACAGTCTTTTAACGATGAATAATACTTCCGAAGCGAAGAACAATGACGTTGGTTGACATTGTTTACTTCTCTGTTTGGTATTATCCTCTGCTTTTTTAGTAGCCTCTTAAGAAAAAAGTATGTCAACTACTTTAAATGTTTCAGCCTCAGCTCTTAATGCTTCCAGGTTTCCTCGGCTCCTGGAACGGAAAACTAGGGCTGTGAGGACTAAATATAGGCTCAACTGTGGACCAGATGTCCACACATGTAAACAGTCCGGAGGGAGGCTCCCCTTGGATGAGTGCCTAGTGAGGGAAAAGTGCCCTTTGAGCCTCCGTGTTTATCTCTCTTCCTCACGCCCTGTCTGTCCCTGGAAATGTCCCCCCATGACTGCGACTCTGGTATTTCTGACAGGTTGTCACATGTTCTTGGTTCTGAGGACATAGCACAAGACAGAGGTGACAGGCATTTCGGGATCCGAAAGTAGGTCAGGACCCACATCTTCCACCACTGGCTCGCTGTGCATAGCTCCCCTGCCATTTGGCCCTAGCCCCCTCTTGCAGAAAGAACATGATCCTGTTTTACTATTCCATCCTCACAATGGGTTGTGAACTATCTTATCTGGTTAAACATCACATGGAAGGATACCATGGTATAGGAAGCTTTATTTCTGTGGAATGACACCCCTGAGTTTCCGAGGCCCCATTTCCCTCCATCCCACCAGAGACGTGTAGCTGTACCCTCAAAAGAGCTGGGATCAAAGCCGTTGCCAAGAGTTTCCGTTCCGTGTTGGGGCACAGTCCAATCTGGCATCAGGCTGGCTTAGCTTGAGTTCCCGGTGCAGTCCATCAGCCCATGGTGTGTGGGGTCCACAGGCCACATGGCTTTGGAGGAAACACGAGGAAATGCAAGGAAGCAGGAGCACAAAAACCAAAGGAACCAGAAAACCAAGAGAGTGAGCTCCTTTGTCTGGAAGACTATGTATTCCCAAATTTTCCGGGGCTTGCAGTGGCCCTGCCCCCTTTAGCTAGTGACCTCTGTTCCCAGGTTTGACTGACAGGCACCTTCCCTACCTCACCCCCACTCACTGCACATGCAGCCGTCTTCCCCTTTGTCCAGTCCCTTCCCCCAGTGGTGTGAGGGAATGGACTGGGGGTTCCCTGGGGTGTGTAAAGTTGCAGCTTCCCAGTGAAGCTGCCCAATGCTGTGTTTATAATGCCTGGCCTTCCCTTTGTTCCTTTTCTGGTATTAATAACTAGCTAATTACAACGCTATCGCTATTACTTTTTATTTGAATGTATTAGAGTTTAGTAATATTGTGTGTCAAATAAGGATCTTGACCACAAAGGATAACATTGTTTTTGTAAGAAAATTTATTTTACGTTTCAAAGAACCAATCTGTGAACTCACAAGTATACTTTGAGACAAAAGAATGATTTCTGGGTTTGGGGGTGTTGGCCTAAGCTCACTAAGTTACAGTCCAAATGCCATGTGCCCAGCACTTCAAAAGGCCAAAATTGAAAATTTTAGTTTGGAGTAAGGAAAGGTTTAAGATTTTCTTTTACTTTTGAATAAAAATTATTAAAACCACTGAGTGATAGTAAACATTATGTTCTCAATTACTTCTGCGATATCAATTGAGCTTAATACATATGAAGCTGCTTTATATAATTTGAAATTAAACTTCAGTGCAAAAAAAGAGCACCACTATCTGAACCATTAATGGATTAGGAAAATGTTTGCTTCATATTCCGTATTTGAAGAGATATTCCCATTTTTGTGTTGATGTGAGCAGATAGGAAATCCAAAATTCTAGCAAGGTCCCTTCTTCCTTCTAGCTCTGATTTTGCACTGACTTTTTGCTCTAGGAGAGGAATGAAGTGTAGGCTGATAGGCTTTTTCATTCATTTAGATTCCCAAATCTTCAGGGAGCACTTGTTTTTATCTGTGCTGGTTTGGGGAACCAGTGTACGTGCGGTCATTGAACTTCTGTTCCCACACATGATTGTTTGGTGTTCAGGAAAAAACACAGAAAGAAGCATTGCAGCGGAGGAAGAAAGAGCCCCAAGAGTAAATATCCAGGGCTCTTTTGGGGTTCATCCGGGGTCAGCCTACTTCCTGGATCTGGGGAGACCAGAATGGAATCAGGAAGAGGTGCTGACTTCACAAGAGGAGGATGGCTCCAACCGGAGGCCGGGAAGGCTTGTCTTTCTGTTTACATCAGACTGTTCTTGATTGCTTCTGTGGCCCGCTGGGAAGGCAGGCAGTTCCTGGAATCTGATTGAATACATTCACCCTAATCTGTGAAAGCCTCTGAACCCCCACATCCCGAGGGCGTTTTCTTTTTTAAAAGAGGACACGTACCCATGGAATTCTCTAAATGGTCATATTCCATTAGTTCCACAGAGTGCGATGGAAAAAAAACCGTTCCCGCTGATAACGGAGGAAAGTGAGGAAGGAGCTGTTAGAAGCTGAGCCTTCCCTGGCATCATCTTCTCCAGGGGATCACTCCAAAGTTACCCCTCTTACCATAACTTCTCCGTTTCAACAACAGCAGAAAATCTTAATGTTTCTGGCAGTGGGAACAAGTGTAGGCTTGCAGCAGTATTGTTTGGGTTTATTTGGGCCAAATTTCAAGTGAAATACTTAGTGCAGGGACATTAGAGAAGATGGGAAGATCCGTCAAAGAAAGGCTCTAGATGAATCTTAATAAAAATTTAAGTATGAATCACAACACTGTGCCTCTTTTCTTAAAGGTCAGGAGAGCTGGGTCCTCCTCCCAGCTTTGCCACTAAATGTGAACTTAGTCAAGTCCCCTGACCCAAGTGGGTCTGAGTTTTCTCATAAGAAAAATGAATGGGGCCTGCATTTCATTCAGGACAGCGGTTATAATAGAACCTTATGGGGAGTACCTGGGTTGATGGAGTCTCTGCCTGAGGGTAGACAAAGCATGTGAGAGAGAATATTAATCCAAAGAGTTTGATTACCTGTTTCTTCTAAGAAAAACGTTGTTGGGAAGGTACTCATGCTCTTTCTAACTATTTTGGAGTTCTCTGCGGACTTCTCAGTTCCATACTCTCTGTCCAATATTACCATATATAATTCAGAGTTAGATATTTAAAATGTAACTCATACCAAAACCAGTTTGGCTCAGTGGTAGAGCATCAGTCTGCGGACTGAAAGGTCCCAGGTTCAATTCTCGTCAAGGGCATGTACGTTGGTTGCGGGCACATCCTCAGTAGATGTGCAGGAGGCAGCTGGTCGATGTTTCTCTCTCATCGACGTTTCTAGCTCTCTATCTCTCTTCTTTCCTCTCTGAAAAAATCAATTGATATATATATATATTAAAATGTAACTCATATTCTCAGATTGTAAAATAAAGCCACACATATGACATCTACCTTTAAAAAATATATTTTTATTAATTTCAGAGAGGAAGGAAAAGGGAAAAGAAATAGAAACATCAATGATGAGAGAGAATCATTGATCACCTCCTGCACACCCCACTCTGGGGATAGAGCCTGCAACCCGGGCATATGCCCTGATTGGGAGTGGAACCATGACTTCCTGGGTCATAGGTTGACGCTCAACCATTGAGCCATGCAGGGCTGGTGACATCTACCATTTTGTGTTTCCTTCTAGTATCTATTACAGTAAGTACTATGTACATGAGATAAATCTTGAGAGTTCCAGATTTTCTATTGTGGTTCTCTATATTTTTTACACCATTGAGTTAGTGATGGATTTTTAGAAAGTTAAATATGGCGTTAGATCTTAGAAATCTCTTCTCTTTCGAAGAAGGCAAGCTCAGAACAAGGCTAATTTAATAAGTTCTTCCATGCAGGCTTTAGAGCAGCAGGGCTCTGGAGGCCCAGAGCTGAATGCCGATGAGCTGGAGGCTGTCTTAGAGCAGTGAGGGCCAGTTCAGGCCAGTCAGTGAAATGCTTTGAATTTTCTCCCAGTGACAGCTGTACCTTGTCATCCTGAAGCAGGCGCTGGTTCGTGGCTTGGTGCTGTGCGATCAGAGAGAGAAACTGGGTTGAGGCTGTTCAGAGCAACATATCTGGGGCAGGACCCCTAAGGGAAAGGGTAGAAAAGTCTGTAGAGAAGGCAGCTAGCAAATGGCATGCTGTTCCTCTAAAAGTGGCCAGGCTTCTTCACTTCTCGCTGTGGTCTTTGATTGTTGACAGTGAGTGAGACATTTACGGTGAATGCTGAACCAAAGGAAGTATTCAGGGCAGTGATCCTTTCTGCCTCTATCACCATATATGAACACACTGTGGACTCGTAGTTTTACTGCTAGCTTTACCCAGTGGCCAGATAAGTTTCTATTGAACGAGTACAAAATACATTTTACATAAATGGTAATGGCACGCTTTAAAATTAAATACCCATTGCATTTTGAAGTTTTTATTACATGTTCTTACAGGTTAATATCTTTTTACTAGGTAAGTATGATACTTTGTAAAACACTGTGTAATATGAAGTGAGAATTCTCGTGATCTGTCTGCAACGTGTTAATTAACTAGAGGGCCAGTGCATGCATTCATGCACCTGTGGGGTCCCTCGGCCTGGCCTGTGGGGATCGGGCCGAAACCAGCTCTCCAACATCCTCTGAGGGATCCCAGATTGTGAGAGGGTGCAGGGCCAGGCCAAGGGACCCACTGGTGCATGATTGGGGCTGGGGAGAGACTGTGGGAGGGCTCTAGGGTGGACCCCAACAATAGGCTAACCTACCAATCAGAGTGCCTGCACCCTGGTTGCCAGTGCATGTCATAGTGACTGGTCCAACCATTGGACACTTAACATATTAGGCTTTTATTATATAGGATTGGGATTTAAGGTTGTTTCTGAAACTCTACATCTGTGCATTTCTTCTCAAATACAATGATTTTTATTCATAAGCAGTGACTCAGAGTCCTGCTCACTTGTCACCTAGATGAACTTAGGAAAGTTGCTTACCTTTGCTGGGCCTGATGCTGAATGCTAGTGATGGGGCTGATATCAGTGGCCTTGCTGGGGGCTACGCTGATGACATGGGTTGTGGGGAGACTCTGTGAGTCCTGTGCTACCAGGTATCGTGCTGTGCCAGTCGTTAACAGCCAGGTAAGCAGCTCACTTTTTCTGTTTGTGTTTCCTATTTCAGTGGTTCCCTGTCAGACAAGCGATTTCTGTTTGCCTCCAATGGTAAGGAACATGCTTTTCTTAGGAATTTGATATTTCCAATTCCTCATGGTAGTTTATTCTTCCATATCCTTCAGGTGATACAGCTTAAAGGATTTTGGGTTTTTCCCCCCTCAGGTCACACATTACCAAGTATGCTATGACTAAAAATACACAAGACAATAAGCTTAATTAATATTAATGTTAAGCAGAAAATATATTTCTTTATAATCTAAGCTCTCTCAAACTTTTGCCAAAAAAGAATGAAAATTTGAAATGACAATTATTTTAAGATAAATTCCATGTTCGATTTTAACAGAAAATTATTTAAAGATTTTTTTTTAATTGATTTGAGAGAGAGTTCTGCTTTTTGTTCTGCTTATTTATGCATTCATTGGTTGCTTCCTTTATATGTCCTGACCAGGGATTGAACCCGCACCTTGACATATCGGATGACACTCAGACCAACTAAGCTACCTGGCCAGGGCCAGAAAAGCTTTTAAATAGTACAACTTGGTTGGTAGGTTTCTTGAATCAAGTTATCGAACATGAGTATAAAAAATAAAGGCTTTTTAAGGTACTCTGTGTAATCTTCTCCCTCTTTTAAAGTGTGATATTTTAAGAAGAACAATATGATGTCTTCCTTGTCCAGGAAGAGGAGTGTGGCCTTTACATGGTCCCTCCAATTGCCTTGGACATGGACAGTCCAAAGGATGGATGTCATGTACAATTTACTGATCTTCAGAGCAGCTGACATACCTGCTCTTCAAGATACAGATTGTAATAGATAAGAACCTCAGCATTTTAAGCCTTTAAGGCCCCTTGCACTTGATTAAAATCAGGATGAATTTAGGTCAGAAAGGGAAGTCTACACTAGGGACTAAGAGATGTCACTTATAGGGAATGTGACTTCCATAAGGTCCATTGGAAACAAAAGCAGCAACCATTTCAAGATATGTAGTACAAGGGAGTCAAATGCAAACTGAGTCATTCAAACACTAGCAATTGAATATAGGATTTGCTATCACAATGGAAGTAAAACAACTATTTCTAGGTTTTATATCTGAAGTATTTCAATGCTCTTTTCTCCTAGGTTGCAGCACATCCTTACGTTTGGAAGCAGATGGGCAAGTCAGAGATTCTTGGCAGTGGGACGATGAGTTTAGAGAACAAGTTCATTGGTCTTCTGGCCATGCCCGACGTCAGGACCACAGCCCGTCATGGTCTTTGGCGGACAGCAGCAAGAACCACAAACAAGAGTGGCTGGAAATAGATTTGGGAGAGGAGAAGAAAATAACAGGTACTGACACAAGTGCAGTCTCACAACTGCAAAATGACTTGGAGTTGCAGTTGTGTTTCTGACTAAATAGATGCCTCAAAGTCCACTGCATCCTAATCTCCACATTGTCCCGGTGGAAGAACCTGCATGTGGGTGGTCAATATGAATGTATGTGCCAGAGAACTGATACCTCCATGGTGAAACTGTCTATGGTATATCTCAGTGTGAAAACACGCATCAGCTATCAGGTTTCTCAATGAAAATAAGACACGTTGGCCGGTGAAACGATTAGGGATTTCACATGAGTGAGGGAGAAAAGAAACCTGAAGTTAAAATACATGCTGTCTGTAACATGATTTAAAAACATTAAAAATAATGTTTTCTCACAAGGGATTCGGACCACAGAATCCGCATATCCAAATTTCAACTTCTATGTTAAGAGTTTTATGATGAACTTCAAAAACAACAACTCCAGATGGAGGACCTACAAAGGAATTGTGAATAAGGAAAAGAAGGTAAGATAAACTCGGGGGAAAAGAACTGAGCAGGAGACCAAGCCTCCATATGTTTTATCAGCATGCTTCCAGAAAACAGATTCTCAGTGCCAGCTTAGTTAGGTAACTTGGCCTTTCTTCGCAGAACCTTGTATCTTTAATATCAAGAGTGTCTTAAAAAATGCAACAGACATAGAATCCTGGCTTTGGTTTCATGTAGCCAGGTATGAATCTATACTAATAAAAGGGTAATATGCTAATTAGACTGGGAGAACTTCCAGGAGACCTTCTGGATGTTCTTCTGGACAAAGCCATAGTGGCAGGGCCGCGGTTGAGGCAGTTAGAGGCCAAGACGGGAGGGCAGTTGTGGGTGATCAGGCCATTGGAGGGGCAGTTGGGGGTGAGAAGACCAGCGGGGGCAAGCATGTTGTAGGTGGGCGTCAGTTGGGGTGCTTAGAATAGCGGGGGGGTGGGGGGGGTGGAGGGGGGGAGGTTGCAGTTGGGGACGAGCAGGCCAGTGGGGAGGGAAGGTGAGGGGGAGCAGGCTAGCAGTAGGGGCAGTTGGGGGCAAGCAGGCTGGCAGGAATGCAGTTAGAGGCGAGCACACTGGCACCAAGGGGCAGTTGGAGGTGATCAGGCTGCGGGGGAGAAGGGGGGGCACGTTTTTGATGAGCAGGCCAGCATGCAGAGTGGTTAGGGGCAATCAGGCAAGCAGGCAGGTGAGTGGTTAGGAGCCAGCAGTCCCAGATTGTGAAAGGTATGTCCAACTGCCAGTTTAGGCCCGATCCCTGCAAACCAGCAGTAGAATATCCTTCGAGAGGTCCCAGATTGGAGAGGGTGCAGGCCGGGCTGAGGGACACCACCCTCCCCCACACCCGTGCACAAATTTCAATCACTGGGCCAACTAGTGGGTTTATAAAAAACTGACTAATAGAATCTTCAGGAGCCAAAACCGGTTTGGCTCAGTGGATAGAGCGTCGGTCTGCGGACTAAAAGGTCCTAGGTTTGATTCCGGTCAAGGGCATGTACCTTGGTTTTGGGCACGTCCCCAGTGGGGGGTGTGCGGGAGGCAGCTGATCGATATTTCTCTCTCATCGACGTTTCTAACTCTCCCTCTCCCTTCCTCTCTGTAAAAATAAATAAATAAATAAATAATAAATAAATTAAATAAAATAAAATGTATTAAAAAAAAAAAAAAAAAAAAAGAATCTTCAGGAGAAGGTTACCTGTTTCCACAGGTGTTTCGGGGCAACTTGAATTTTCGGGACCCAGTGATGAACAATTTCATCCCTCCCATCGTGGCCAGATACCTGCGGGTCATCCCCCAGACGTGGTACCAGAAGATCGCCTTAAAGGTGGAGCTCCTTGGTTGCCCGGTTACACAAGGTAGGAGTCTCGGTGAGTTAGTAAGTAATTGGATGGTGGCCATCTCCTTTCCCAAACTGTTGTCACGAATGTGGTTTTTTCCAATATCTCTTCTCTCTCAGGCAACGATTCATTGGTGTGGCGCAAAACCAGTTCAGATTCCACGGAAAGAGAAGATGAGACAATCACAAAACTCATCCCCTCTGGAGAGATGTCCACAGGTAGAGCACTTATGTTTTGTGATTTCCTCAGGAGTATAACTGGTGCTCCATCCGATATCACAGTAGCTTCAACAGAATTTCTTTTCTTTGTCATATAAATGGCTGGAGGCAGATGTATCAGAGATATCTGCACATGTGTAAATGATGTATGCCTACAGCTACTCATTGTGGTATTGTAAGTAGGAAAGTTAGTGTTTGCCCTTCAAATGCTAAGTAAATCTTTTATGGGAAAATAATAATACATCCATGCAACAGTATACTCTTTAGCCATTGAAAAAAATGTGTTAGTAATCTAGAAAGTTCTCTGAGATAAATTGACAACTTAAATAAATAAGCAAGGTATAGAACAGTCTATCTAGCACTGTAATATATGTGTTAAAAAAAAGGAAAAAATAAAGATGTATATATTCTAGTTTTTCTGCAACAATGTCAGGAAACATAATTTGGCTTTCTGTGGAGGAGAAATAGAGGTAAGAGATATACATTTATTCTATACCCTTATACATTTTTTGAATTCTAAACATATAAGTGTCTATAATTTATTTGAGTAATGAACATTAAAAGGACATTTCTTTTTTCAGTATATAAATAATTTATATATTAATTTTATAAAATTTGGAAAGATTAGAAAAATATAAATAATATAAATGCTATGAATCAACTTCCATAGATAATCACCAAATTTCACTATATCAAATAAATTATACTTATATTTATAACTTTGAGACAAAATGATAGCACAACCTATATTGTCTTGTAGCATGTATTTTTTACTTAACATGGTATTATGAGCATTTTCAATGTCAGTAAATAGTTGAAAAGCACAATTATTCGTATCTTTAATAGTATCTTTTCAAATGGAAATACCATTATTTAGTTAACCATTCCCTTACTGTTAGATGTTTAAGTTGTTAAATTTTCCCAAAATGTTTACTTTTATAAGAAACACCACAGATGTTTCTGTAAATTTCTAAGTTCCTTACCCTTTCTTACATGAACAACACTTTTCCACTCCTGGTTGTCTCTATATTTTCTTCTCAAGAGTTACAGGTAGAGAAGGTGAGAACAAACACTGCTCCTTCTGAGTCGTTTGTGTAGTCCCTACAAGCTTGGGGCCTGCCACGGTGCCGGTAAAGTGGCCTCCTTTTCTAAAGCAGAGAGAGCCATAGGAAGACATGGTCTGCAGGCTGTATTTCCTTCCAATCCAAAGCTCTGGTAACCAGAAGCCCAGGCCCTCAGGCCTCTGATATGGTCCAGGTCCCAACTGCCCACTCTCAGGGGGAACTGGCTGCTTGAGCCGAGGGAGCAGCTCTGTGTGGCTGAATTCTTGACCTGCCTGAATAGCTCCTGGCTGGGTGGGACAGCTTTACACCTTCCCTCCGTTCTGACTTTGGGAGTCTAATGTAGACCAAGTAACAAGCTCAGAGTAAACGTTAATCCCTGGAGAACATTGAAAACTGCCTTTCGAAATGAAATCCTGCCATTTGTGACAACACGGATGGACCTGAGAGTAATCTGCTAAGTGAAACAAGTCAGACATTGAAAGACAACTACCATGCTTTTTCATTTCTATGAAACAACAACAAAATAAGCAAAGAAACAGACTCATGGGATGGGGGTTGGGGAATGGGTGTAAAAGGGGAAAGGATTAAAGTGTACAAATTGTAAATAACTATAGTAACTATCTGGTGTCAGATGGCTCCTACACGTATCGGAGTGATCACTTCATAAGTTATATAAATGTCTAATCACTATGTTTTACACCTGGAACTAATATACTATTCTATGTCAACTGTAACTGAAATTTTTTTTTTAATTATTTAATAGTAATAAGAAGAAAACTGCTTTGGAAGTAGGGAGAAGGGAATACATTTTATTTTTCTAAACCTTAACCAGAATTTTGAATTCTTTCTTCTTGCTTTCCAATGTCCATAAATGCCTAGCATGTACTCATTTCCTCATGCATTAACCCTTGGAAGGATTTTCAAATCAGGGTTGAGTTTTAGATGGTGAAATGTGTTTGCAGGTCTCTTCTGTTGTAATGTGATGCTTCCACTCTTAGGAGCAAACATCGCAATAGTGGCTGGTCCGCTGCTGCTCCTTGCCCTGCTGATTGTTGGAATCTCTGCGGTCCTTAAAAAGTATGTGATTTTACATTTCTCCCCTACTTATGGAAACAATCACAAAAGCAAAAGTTTAGCCCTGACCGGTTTGGCCCAGTGGATAGAGCATTGGCCTGTGGACTCAAGGGTCCCAGGTTCGATTCTGGTCAAGGGCATGTACTTTGGTTTCAGGCACATCCCCAGTATGTTTCTAACTCTCTATCCCTCTCCCTTCCTCTGTAAAAAAAAAAAAAAAAAAAAAAAAAAATCAATAAAATATATATATTTTTTAAAGTTTACCCTGTAGATGCTTATGTGGAGAAAGACAACATTGCTCCTTCCAGGATAAAATATTAACTTGTATTTTACAAACGTGTTGGTTAGAGGTTGAAAATTTCAAGTACTATTTTATAAACAGTTCTTATCATGTAGAAACCTTTCCAGTGGAATTTCCTTGTCTTGCTAGGAGGAAGAAGAAAGGAACTCCATTTGCATCTGTGAAAGCCTCAAAAACAGGTGGGTTGAAATTTCTGTCTTCAACTTTATTCTTTGAGGAAGAGATAAGATCTGCTGATTAAAAGCACCATTCAGTTTTGTTTGTTTGTGTTTTTTTTTTTTTAATAAAATCCAGAGCCTTTAAGTTAACAGATTTATAAGGAAAGAATATATTGTGTCTCATCCTTTTAATTCAGAGTTTTTAGGAGCACTTTACTCTCCTTTTGTTCAACATCATCCCATCATTTATCAACATTCCTTATTCTTCTTTTTGGCACTGGAATTGAGGCCAACAAGTTGTCTATAACCAAGGAGAAGTTATAAAAGCACCATCTGTGTACTGTGAACTCAACACTGTCCAGCACTCAGCACCCGCAGGCTTCCCTTGTAGTTTGCTGTCTGGGAAGGTGGGAGCAGGATTAGGCAGAGTTTGTACTTGGGCTTCGTAGAATCCTTAGAACACAAGATGCCCAAGCAAGGTGTCAGCAGCAGTCCCGAGAGAGGGCCACGGGCCAGGGCCCCTGAGAATCTCAGACACAGCTCCAGACTCAGCTTCCATCCGGTCTAAACAGCCAGCTGTGTTGATTCCTTGGGTCCCAAATGCCATGGAAAGCCAGGGGGTCTAGCATTGGGAAGATATGGGACCCGATGGGCCCACAGATACATTTTAAAGGCACAGTGGAACGCATGGCTGGGATAGTGTTTGCTGTGGCTATGCCACCCTCGGTGTGCTGTGTCTACCACACACACACGTGAGGCATTTGCCCGTGAGTTCATCAGAGGGTCAGCGGGCAGAAGGCAGCTTGGCCTGTGGCTCATGGAGGAACGCAGCATGGAGCCGTGCAGAATGTGTGCTGTACTTCTAAGCTATCGCCTTATTTCCTGTCATCTTTGTTCCAGACTGTTGGAAGCAGATTAAATATCCCTTCACCAGACATCAGTCGGCTGAGTTTACCATCAGCTATGATAATGAAAAGGAGGCGACACAGAAGTTAGATCTCATCACCAGGGATATGGCGGGTAAGTGTCGGGCCTCTGCTTGTGGGAGAGGGGAGACCAGGAGAAAAATAAGACTGAAATCCTGCTGGTTAGATGGGGTCCTCTAAATCGGTCATGTGTGGCCCAGCTGGTGTGGCTCAGTGGTTGAGTGTCGGCCCATGAACCAGGAGGTCATGGTTCTGTTCTGGGTCAGCGCACATGCCCACGTGGTGTGCCAAATCCCCAGTAGGGGGCGCGCAGGAGGCAGCGGATGGATGATTCTCTCTCCTCATGGATGTTTCTATCTCTCTCCCCTTCTCCCTTCCTCTCTCTGAAATCAATAAAAACACACACTCACACACACATTTACATCAGTAATGCGTGAAGTTTTCTTTCTGCATTCTGATATTTCTCAAGAGCCCCAAAGGAGTTCAGCCGAGGAGGCTCTTACACCTGCAGGGGCTGCAATGACACCCAAAGCAATGGCCCCGAAGTTCCACTGAAATCTGGAAACTCTTCATTAATCTGTTTTGTTGTAGGTTTTCATTAAGGCACTAGGAAAGAGGGACTAACAATGTGTTAAGTACAGCTTCTGCCCTTGAGGAGAGGAGATAAGAGGTGAAAAACCTGTCCAGTGTCAGAATGGCCTGGGCATCCCTGATCCTCAAGCTTTGGGAGTTAAGCTTTTCAAACTGTCTTTGTGGAAAGACCCAATTTTTGCTTTTGTTTTTTGTTTTTTAAATTTCTAACCCATCCAGGACTCATACTTTCCTAAAACACCTTATGAATTAGTTGTAATGACGTTTTCAAAAAGACAGTTTACAAAGCTCTAATTTTTTTTATTAGACTCAAGGGACGTAAAATTACTCTCTCCGGTTGCTGTAGGTTCCTACACACTGGCTCTCCATTCGTGTGGCCCTCTCTGCAGATTTGTCCCAGGCAGTTCTCAGGGGATGCAGGCGTCTCCAGACCACACTCTGAGCAGCTTCTGGCTTCTCAGAGTGCGCGCTGAGGGTCAGCAGCGTGCGGAGCTCCCTGGGAACGCAGCTTTTCGGGCCAGGCCCCGGGCCTCCCAGGCCGGCAGTGCCCAGCTGGTGCATGCACCTGTCAGAGTCTGGAGGTGCCAGTGGGAAGAGGCCTCAGGGGCAGAGATGAGCATCTCCCAGCCAGAACCCACCTCGCCTGGTACATCTCGGCCTCCCTCCTCGCGCCTGGCCCACAGGCCCTGCGCGGGGCACCCTCCCCTGCCAGCAGCTGCCTTGCCCGTGCGGGTGCCGCGCGGCGGGTGCACCAGTGACGTGTCTTCTGCGCTCTGGCTTTCAGATTACCAGCTGCCCCTCATGATCGGCACCGGCACCGTCACCAGGAAGGGCTCCACCTTCCGGCCCATGGACACCGAGGCGCAGGAGGCCGGGGCCGGCGGCCACTACCGCTGCCCGCTGGCCCGCAGCCACGAGTACGCGCTGCCGCTGCCGCACGCGGAGCCCGAGTACGCGACGCCCATCGTGGAGCGGCCCCGCGGGCGCCCCCTCCCGGCGCAGCCCGGCTACCGCGTGCCCGCGGCCCCGCGCCCGCCCGCCGCCGCCGCCGCCGCCGCGAACCAGGGCTACCAGAGCCCGCAGAGCCCGGCGGCCCCCGGCCCCGGCCCCGGCTACGACCTGCCCAAAGCGCCCTCACCCGCGGAGCGTGCGGAGCCCGACGGCCAGCACCCCCTGCACGACGCCTACTCAGCCCCCCGAGACTGCCTCAAGCCCCTCAGCCAGACGGCCGTGACCGCCCTCCTGTGAACTCAATGTGCACACAAGGTGCACACAAGGTGCACACAGTGTGCACACAATGTGAAAGGAGCCTGCTGTGGTACTGAGCACGGCGCTGGGCGGCCCTGGGAGAAGGGAGGGGGGTGTGTGTGTGATGGTGTGTGTGTGTGTGTGTATGTAATGTATGTGATTGTGAGTGTGGGTGGATGTAGTGTGTGTGTGTGTGTGTGTGTGTGTGTGGTGTGATTGATTGTGTGTGATTGTGTGATTGTGTGGGTGTATAGTGTATGTGTGTATGTGATTGTATGGTGTATGTAATGTATGTGATTGTGAGTGTAGGTGGATGTGTGTGTGTGATTGTGTATATGTAGTGTATGTGTGATTGTGAGTGTGCATGAGTGATCTAATAGGATCCTGCGTTGGAATCCCAGCGACCACCTCTCATACTGTTTACAAAGCTGTGCCGTTGGTTTTGTTCTGACCCTTTGGGCGGGAGCCTGTGGGGTTCTGTTAAGGCTAGAAAAAGGGGGGGGGGGGACTTTTTTTAGACGGCATTTTCCTGTCTCACACTGTGATACTGAGCTGCTCGGGTGTACCATGTGCAGTCTGTGCGGAGCTGTATTTAACGGGAATGAAAGTAACTTACGTTCGCTTCGCCCGAGGTTGATTCTGCACGGGGGTGACGTGGGAGAATGCAGCTATTGCAGACACGTACATCATACTGTGTTCCCTTGTTCAAGATAGGGCCTCTGATACTGTTAGCAGCAGGTCTGTGTCAGCTTCGTCTTATTGCTCTGGCTCATTTCCTTTCCTTTGATAACCAGAACTAAAAGCATTGCTAGCATTCTTCTCCTGGAAGGAATTAAAATTACTTGAAGCATGAAAAGCACACCAGGGTGGTTGTTAGCCATTATGATTGTACATTAAAAACACACACACACACTCAACCACCTCAGCAACTGCCGGGCCTGGAGATCCGGTTCCGGTGGCGGGTCTGGGCCTGCACTGGGCAGGCCTGTGCCTGCAGGGGCCTCCCTGCCCTGCCCCAGAACCCGCCTCCCAGGGGAACTGCCTTCAGCACACGTTGCTGCTCCCTCAGGTCAGACCTGGCAGAGACTGGCTTTCACATGCACATCCACCTTGACACACTCTGCAAAGCCAAGTGCCGAGCAGCAGCCAGGAGAGCTGGCTCCCCCAACGAAATGAAGGTGGCACAGCGATGCCAGTCTGCGTCACTGTGCCGGATGCTTTTGTACCTCAGAGTGAAAACATTGCTGAGGTCAGACGCCCACACTCTCCGTGCCTTTTGTTGTTGTTTTTTGTTCCAGAAATAGCACATTATACTCTGTGTGTCCTTACAGGAGGGACCGAGGCCGAATCTAAGTAGAGCTCTTGAGGCTGAGACGGTGGGGGACTGGACTGGTTTTGTCAGGAACACTTACCCGGAGTATGTGTCTAACTCCCTGTGAGCCCAGACCTCAGCTGTACCTCATCTTCCTGGCTGTCATTTAAGTGTGCTTCGTGAGTTCACTGTGGGGGTTCACCGCCTCTTTTGCCAAAGAGGAAAATGTTTGTTTTACAGAAAACAGACAAAAAAAAACAACAACAACAACAACTTATGATGTATTATAATCTTGTATGATTATAACTTTCTGTGAAAAATATAAATATTATAATGGCCAGGGTGCTGGAATGTCACAGACTATCTGGTGGTTATCGTGGAGGCTCAATGCGATTCTCTGTGGCATTCACATGGTTTTATATACATACTAATATAATAAACTACGCCAAATCAAATGCCTGTGCCTCTCATTGGTGTCCACTGGTGGCGCAGGCTCCAAAAGCAGACAAGTGGTGCAGTGCGGAGAAGCATGGGCTCAGACGGGTCTTGGTTCCAAACCCTGATCGGCCGCACAATAGCTGGTGGCTGGGCGAGTTGTGGGAATCAATGAAGATGACCAGGTTAGAACAAGCAGAGGCTAGTCAAGAGCTTGCTAGCTACCGCAGTGGAATCAGCCGCGTCACTTGCATTTCGGCAGAGAGAGACTCCAAGGCAGCAAGGAGGGGAAAGGTTTGCCGTGAGGAAATAGGGAGGCGCTAGGATTAACTAAAAGTGGAGCTCTTGTTAACTAGGGGGACATATTTGGTTTCCTCTTGGTTGGTCCTAAGTTGGAAGTGGGGATGAAAATGAGGGAAGCTAATAGTTATTCACTAAATCCTAGAGATTGGATGTCAATTATTACCAGTGATGTTGATTTCCTGGATTTTTATCGGAAATAGTGGTCTGATTTATGGCAGGTTGGCTTCCTGGGCCAGTTTCTGTGGATTATGGGTTGGTTTCTTGCATTAATTGCTGTAGGTTGTGAATCAGAGATCTATTTTTATAGAGTTCTGGACATCTCCCATTTGTATATCTGGTCTGTTATTACAAATGACCCCAAGCCCCAGGTTCCTCATGTATAAAATAGATACGAATGTGCCTTTCTCCAGGGAACAAGCGTTGTCCCAGTGAATTACAGATAAGAATTCATTGGGAAACACTAATCAGATTGTTTGTTCTACCTTAGGTCTCCATTTCCCCCAGAGGGTTGTATATATACTTTAGCATTAAAATATTAAACCATAAGATTAGACATTTTTACAAGGCAGGTCTTTCTATCCATCACTTTTTTCCCTGTGCTCATGATTTAATCATGATAGAAAGTGGAGGACAAGACTTTGGTTTTTTTTATTATTATTGAATTTATTGGGGTTACATTGGTTAATAAAATGATACATATTTAAGATGTGCAATTATATAATACATCATCTGTATATTATGTGTTCACCACTGTAAATCATGACTTCATCACCATTTAAAGTCCACTAAAGTTGGTGAATTTATATTGATAATATTTCATTTTCTGTTTTATTTTTTAAACATATTTTTATTGATTTCAGAAAGGAAATCAATAATTGGATGGTGAGCCGGAAGGTGGAGCCCTTCCAAGACACACATGGGCCGGAAGGTGGAGCCCTTCCTGGTGCCGGTGCCGGTGCCGATCATGAGGGGCAGCTGGTAATCTGAAAGCCAGAGCGCAGAAGACACGCTAGAAAAATTATTGATTTTTCAGAAAGGAAATCAATTAATTGACATCCAATCTCTAGGATTTGGTGAATAACTATTAGCTTCCCTCATTTTCATCCCCACTTCCAACTTAGGACCAACCAAGAGGAAACCAAAAGGAGAGATAGAAATATCAATGATGAGGGAGAACCATTGACCAGCTGCTTCCTGCACACCCACTACTGGGGATCAAGCCCCAAACCCTGGCATCTACCCTGACCAGGAATCGAACCTGGGACCCCTTGGTCCATGGGAGAATGCTCAATCCACCCAGCATTCCAGGTGGGCGATAACATTTTATTTAGGACTTTTGCATTAATATTCCCTTGTGAGACAAGACTTTCATTTTCTTTGTGTCAGTCTTTTTTTTTTTAATATATTTTATTGATTTTTTACAGAGATGAAGGGAGTGGGATAGAGAGCTAGAAATATCAATGAGAGACAAGCATCGACCAGCTGCCTCCTACACACACCCCACCAGGGATTTGCCCGCAACCAATGTATATGCCCTTGACCAGACTCCAACCTGAGACCCTTCAGTCCACAGGCTGACGCTCTATCCATTGAGCCAAACCGGTTTGGGTTGTGTAAGTCTATCAATTTTATTAGCTTGATAAAAACTATTTAGAAGTTTTCTTCTCTTTCCAGGTTTTCTAGTGCTAAGCATTAGAATGATAAGCTTTATGAATGTGTGGTAGCATTGGCCCATGCAACAATGTATTGTGGTAATTTGGTGCGGGACAATTTTTTCTATGGAAATCTGCTTAAATTTTTTTTTTTTTTAATCCTCATCCAAGAATATGCTGAGAGATACATTGAGCCCGTAACCCATGCAGGTGCCCTACCAGCAACCTTTTCGTGCCGAAGACCATGCTCAATCAACTGAGCCACTCTAGCCAGGCTGTTTAATTTTTATTTTATTTATTTATTTTTATTAATTAGGGTGATATTGGTCTACATGAACATATAAGTTTCAGGTGTGGATTTATATAAGATCTGTATATTGCACTCTGTGCCCACCATCCAAAGTTAAATCTTTTCCTGTCAGTAGTTTTAATAAATTATATTCTCTGAGAAAATTTTTAAATTTATTCATATAGAATTGAAGAAAATAGTGTATTATCCTTTCAGTTTTTTTCTCTGCTTTTATGGCTATTTCCCACTTCTTATTTTGACCATGCTTTTACTCTACTGGTTCATGACTAGTTTACCAGTAGCTGGCAGTTTGTCTTTTCCCCCTGAAAAAAAAAATCCATTTTTAATTTTTCTTTGGTTCTACTATTTTTCTGCCATCAGAAGCTCACAGCCCACTTGTTACAGCCCCCGGTGGAAGTAACGCTGCCTTGAACAATGGCAAGGAGAACCCTAGGGAGGCCCCTGGTGAGATTTACACCTTCCTCTGATGTCACAAATACCTTGTTGCAGCTTTGCTTCCTAAAGACTAAAGAATGTGGGGCTGTGTGTACACAGGAAGAGACCACGCGTGTGTGTGTGTGTGTGTGTGTGTGTGTAGGGTGTGTGTGTGTGTGTGTGTGTGTGTGTGTAGGGTTGGAGGGATTAGAATGCTGTGTGTGTGTGTCTGTAGGGTTGGAGGGATTAGAAAGCTGTGTGTGTGTGTGTGTGTGTGTGTAGGGTTGGAGGGATTAGAATGTTGTGTGTGTGTGTGTGTGTGTGTGTGTGTGTGTAGGGTTGGAGGGATTAGAAAGCTGTCCGCTCTAGGACCTCAGATCCTACAATGTAACTTCAGTTCTGGCATTCTAACACTCGACTACAGAAAAACTGTTTCTAGCGCAGTATAAACCCGGCTCAACTAGAACCATCATTTCTGAGAGCAAAGCTGAATCAATCCTAGGTTCCATCAAACCTTGTATCATTTAAGAAATAGAAATATAATTATTGAGGAGAAAGATTGAAAAGCTGACAGTTTCATCTCTATCTCTCCCTTTCCTCATTGAAAGTGGCCGATTAAAGCAGAATCAAGCCCAGCTGGCATGGCTCAGTGGTTGAATGTCTACCTATGAACTAGGAGGTCATGGTTTGATTCCCGGTGAGGGCACACGCCCCGTTGTGCGGTTGATCCCCAGTATGGAGTGTTCGGGAGGCAAGCTGGTCAATGATTCTCTCTCATCATTGGTGTTTCTATCTTTCTCCCTCTCCCTTCCTCTCTGAAATCAATAAAAATGTATTAAAAAAAAAAAAGTAGAATCAAGAGTGGAATTTGAGTCCTGGCTCTGACACAACCTGTGTGACTCTCCACAGGTAATATAAATTTCCTAGTCCTCAGTTTACTCATCCTCATAATGTAGTACTTTTTTTTCCTATTGAACATGTGTGTTACACGTGAGGCCACATAATAAACATTTGAACACATGCATTGATACGATGATAGAGTATTGTATTTTATAACTTTCATAAAGCCTTTCAGCTCTAATAGAAATATCACATTTGGAATCTGCTGCCCCCTGCTGTCACTTTACCAAATTGCAAGTTTTACCTTTCCAAAGCCATAGAATCCAAGTTTTTGTCTGTTTTACATTTTGTATATCTAATTTTCCTTCTTATAGTTCATTAATCTATCTATTTACAAGCCAGATTTTTTTAATCTTCACCTGAGGGTATGTTTTATTGGTTTTAAAGAAAGATGAAGGGAGAGAGAGAAACATTGATGTGAAAGAGAAACATCAATGTGAAAGAGAAATATTGATGTTGTTCCCTGTATGCTCCCCAACCAAATCTGCAATCTACGTATGTGCCTTGACTGGGAATTGAACCCAGAGCTGGGCACTCTAGGTGCATCCCTGTGCGCACAGTCTTGTAGTTGAACCTTGATTGCTGTTGGCATCACTGGGAGGAGTTGACCTCCAGGCCAATTGGCTGTGAGGAACAGCTGTGACTACAGTGGGAGAGCTGCTGTGCAGGAAACGCTCCTATGGAGCAGGGCTTGCTTTCGTGGAGCTTTGGTGCTCACTGAGTCTGCCTCTTGAGTTTGCCACTTAGGGATGTATAGAATTGTAATCTGGCATGCTCTGAGCCTGTTCACCGAGTACACTGGCTCTAGGGCCTCCGGGGTGGTACAAAATTAGCCACTGGCCAGGGCAACCTTGCAGCTGCTATAGGGGGCTGCTATTTGCTATTTGTATTGGGCTTGGAGGTACCCAGGCGAGGCCCAGCTGTGAAGCAGGGCAGGCTGATGCCAATACCAGGTTTTGGGCCTTTTATTGATAGGTTTGGGGCACACTGTCACCAGTTGCAGCTTGTTTAAGAAATTTTAGCTCTTAAAGCCTGAGCCAGGATGGGCCATTCATATGGAAAAGCTGCTGCAAACAGCATGGATGGGGCTGCAAATTGGATGGGGCAGGTCTCAAGGAATCCTCAGGGCGGAGCAAACAGTGTGGGCTGTGCTGATATGGCCGCCAGTCAGCCCTGAGAAATGGAAGGTCCCAGCACAGGAACAATGACCCCTGTCAGCACCCCTGTCTCAGAGAAAGCTGTCCCAAGTCCCTGCCCCGATGCTGTATGTCTGGGACCCCCATGGAGCTCAGAGGAAGCCAGACCATGTAAGTTTGTGTGTGGGCCCTTGAAGAGGAATGCCTGGGATCCTAGCTACTTCCTAGTCACTCAGCCACAATCCTCGCTGGCTTTCACAGCCTGTAGTTGTGGGACTTCTCTTCCCAGCTCTGAGACCCTGGGC